CGCGGCGTCCTCGGCGTACTGCAGCCCCTGGGGCTGGCCCTGGCAGGGGGGCGAGCCGCTGGAGAACTTGCCGGACTGCAGAAGGAACACAGATTTGTTGTTTTAACAGGCAACAGCATGGAGAACAGGTCGGAGCCTCTCGGGCTGGTCGGGAGCACAGACCTTCCCAAAGGAGCCAGGCAACAGTCGCTCCTCTCCCAGAGCATGCACCCTGAGCAGAAATAAACTGGAAACAGGGCGACAGCAGGGAGCAGCAGACAAAACCAGAGGAAAACCTGATGCTTTAGCTCAACCCTTATAATTCCCTCTGCCTGAAAGCACAAGGTACAAAGCTTGCTTTGAAACCTTCGACCCAGGCTGGGCCCAATCTGGTCTCAGGTATGACCCTGAGGGAGACAGCATGAGACCCAACACAAGTAAGAAATTGCTTTTTCCTGTGCCATCACCTCACAGTAATGAGGTGAAACTGGGAAAGTAGCCTAGGAAGAGAGACCTTTCCCTCTTGCCCCTCTGCGTTGCTGCACAGAAAACTCTCAAACTGGTCTAAAACACGAATACCTACAAGTAACCTTAAAATACACTACCAGTAACGCTGAAAAAATCCCTGCTCCCAAAACACCCAGCCAAAGTATTCCAAGGCCAAAGCACAAAAATTGCAGTCAGCAGTTAGAACACGACTATGTTCACAACAGCGGCGACATCAGCCGGGCTCGCATCGCGCGCGGGTGCAGCAGCTCCAGCGCTTACGGAAAACAACTGTACAGAAATGGCTGAAAACAGCAGAAACACATGCTTTCTAAGGACGAGAGCCTGCATCGCCAGGCTGCTCTCCCTTCCCAGCCTGTGCCTACAAAGGGCTGCGATGCTGGTATGCGCCCCGCTGCTCTTATCTACGGAAAGGCTAAAGGACATTTAAAATACAGTCCTGGCTGCAGAAGAGACAGGCTCTGTCTACACCACACAGGGGTCAATAGATAATCACGTCCTTTGGTATTTTCAGTCCTATCATTCCAGCACCACAAACTGAAATACGTTTTTTTTCCTGTTAATCTTTCTTACTCCTACCAGTTTGGCACAGATGAAAGAAGGTGTTCTGCATTCTCTTCTTCCTTTGCATAATAAACAACATTAATTATTCACTTGATGGTCTCAAGCCAGTCAGTTAAAGGGATGCAAACTGCATAGCCTTTCGGTCAGAGAACGGTAAATTGGAAGAAAAGACTGGGCCCTACTTTCAGGGTTTTGATCAAGTCCCCAGGGCTGTCAAGACCGTAAACTGAAAATATTTAATCTGGAAATCAGTGACAGGATGATTGTATTTTAACATAATGACTTTTTGGGGTAGGATAGCAAGTTAACTGAGTAGCAAAATAATAATCCCTACAAGGCACCAAGCTAAATATACCAGTGAGAGATTTATTTGTGATAGTGAGAAGTTTGTTTTCTTGTTAAAATATTAGCTTGCAACATTTTGATGTGGAAAGTGTGCAAGTGCTAGAGTATCAAATGTGAAATTAAACAACAGGAAAACATTAGAGAGAAACTTCTGTGAAAGTGCATGCCATTTTTGCATTAAGAATACTCTGTTATATACAATGGGTTGTAAAACTAATCAATACCATCTCAGAAAAAAAACGAAGGATAAAGTCTTCACATAACTGTTAGTTACTATTCACACAGTTAGTTACTATTCACACAGGTTAGTTAAATGTTGGCATAAAAAGGCTAATTCATGTAATTTTCTTTCTGTGCCCCAAGCTATATAGCACAAATCACAACTGGGGGAGGAGCTCTGTAGCCAGCAGTTTTATTCCACTTCCTTAATTTTAAGAGGTTGCCGTAGATTAATGGCCAAACCCCAGCCTCTTGAGCAAATAACTACCATTATGAAACAGTGTGCATTAAGCCACATATGTTCAGCAAATTGAAGAAAGTGCTAATGCTGAACAAAAAATGCTTTGCACAATAGATGCTCCTCAAACCAATAAATTGTTTTGTTATGAATATAGCTAGCACATTATAGTTCTCAAAATATTTATTCACTCCTTCATTCATTTTCAACATCACCTTCGGGAGCACTTTCTGACAAATACATGAACTACTGCATGGCTCACCTCTATGGTGACTGAAGTATCTTACTCGCAGTTCATACAGCAAGGAGAACCACTGCAACTTTCTTTTCATCCCTATATCCTGATGCTTTTGAACATTTTATAAAGTAATACCATTTGGACTTACACAGCTTAATAATGAGTATGAAATCATCATGGTAATCCATAGCCCAAGGTAACTGATGATCCCCATAACATTCAGATCACTGATGTTTTGGGTAGTGGGGATACCTTGCAGTTTAGTAAATGGATGTTAAGGAGAAGACATGAGGAAACTTAAATTATTTAGGCCCCAGATCAGGATATCCTTGTTCAAGAGAGCAGGTATGCATATGTTTAAGGCTGACTGTAAAAATGCGTTCTTATGATTGAGCCAAAAAGCTATGAGAAAATGTCATGGTTCATAGCTCCAGTTGAGCAGATGGAGTTGAGCAGTCCATACTGAGTTAGAAATTAGATGTCACAGCACACGGGAGGCATGGGAATGACATGCTCTTTCAGAGAACCATACCTCAGCATCCTCCTCTTCATCAGTCTGCCACCGGAAACAAAGGACAGGGTGGAGAAGGACAAACAGCAAGGTTTAGGAAAGACAGCATGGGCAAACCATGACAGAGTAAGAGGTAACCATGGTACTGTTTATGTAATTATAGGAGGACATATAAATACAAAGCTTATAAGGAATTCATTCTTTAGACAATCAGCTTGCCTTTTTTTTTTTTTAGTTAATTGTACACAGAACAGACTGTGAGTTAAGGTGTACAAAAATTTCCTGATTTTTCTTAGAGAAATTATGAACTGAAACTACCTCTAGCCCATCCTATTTCTCTCCCTTGAGTTATGCAGTTGCTTGCTCACTTTTTGCCCTGTGGAAACTGAGAGTGCTGAGAAGGAGTCCCTCTCTTTTGTCAAGCTCTGTTCAGCACAGGGAGGTCCTGGCTGCTCTTTCTCCCAGTGCAGAGGTCGGTTTCTTGGCAATTCCTTTTCTCTACACTTAAGTGTTTGTTTTAATTCCTTTTTTAAGCTGAGGCTTTTCAACTTCCGATTTAACAGAGCATTCAAATCAAATGCTGAGTTGTCTTTGAATAAATGCTTAAAGTTCTTCAGCAGCTGCCTGATATCAGATGCTGGAAATGAGAGAGATGAAAATATCCCTTGTCATTCAGTGTTTTTGCTCTCTGCGACAGCAGGTATGCAAAACTATCTTGACAGTTACACTACATTAAATGCAATGGGCATATAAAAATATTGTGGAGTGTTCTTAAATTTGGGGATTTACAAGGAATTAGCAAAATATTTAGAACTGTGTTCCCAAATGGATGGGAAATTGTTCACTGGGTTGTAAGATGCCCCACAGGAAAGGTTTCCAAATTAAAACACAGTTTCTCAAGTATCTGGGCTCCTTGTTTCCACAATTCTCAGTCTGATTGCATATAAAGTACAAACATAGGCCAGAAATTCAATGCAATTTTTTTTTATTTTTGTGGGTTTTGTTTTGGTTTTCAGAAGAAGCATTCCACCGATTCTATTCCCCTCCTTAGTGTTACTAACACATATTTTTGACCTTATCTCCATCTCAGCTATGATTTCTGTCTGGGATTGATACATTCTGTTCCAGAAACATTCATCATTAAAAATAAAAGCCTGATTTACTTTGGCCCTCAGCTTAGTTTCAGCACAATCTCCACACGAACATTAGCTGTGAGAGTGCTGAGCAGCACATTAACATTACTTTTTAAGGGTATGTTTTATTCAAAGAGTGAGATGCTTATTTTTCTTTGGACACAGTGGCACTAACGGAAACACAGGCAGATGTTTTGCAGAGGGACCTCGGCAGGTATGTTCCCTTTACATTAAAAAGATTAATTTGGTTTTTTCCATCCCCTGGGGGGCAGCGAGTTACACGGTAAAGCAATTCTTCTGAAGAAGGCCACTGTTCACTTTTTGGCATGAATAAGACACAGAAAGGAGAAGAAGGGAAAGCAAGAACATACTTGTATTCTAATCCATATGTACATCTATCTAATAAATAAAAGGCAGGAGGAGAGCAAATTAAGCTAAACAATATGTAAAAGGCACTGAGGGAAAGGTGAAATAGCAGAGTACACGCATTACAAAGAGTGTGCTCCAAACAAAATTGTATTATATTATTACTTTATATCAAGATATATTTTTACAGGCAAAATCCCAGTTGCTGGCCTCCTTGCCCATTTAGTCGAGCTAAAAGTGATTTGCTGTGGACTTACTTTAAGGGCAACATACTCCTCGCTGTTTGACTTTGCTCATCTCCAGTACCCGGGGCATTACCATTTCCCTTCCTCCTGCTCTGGGTGGAGAGGGCTCACACCTAGAACCATCGTCCAGCACCCAGAGCTACAGGAGTGCAGCAGCTGTCAGGTGCTGCAGGAGGAGCAGCTCACCATCCCCATCATGTTTCCATGTCTGGAAAGCCATTTGCCCCCAGCAAATACTGACAACAGGAGTCCAAGTAGCAAAATAAATAAATAAACATTTTGTTTCACAAGGGAATCTGCTCTCACCCAGGTGTGTACATTACGCCTTTTATTTCCTTCTTCATTTCATCATTATAAATACTCTGAGAAATATTAATAAATTAGGAATGTACTATTACCAAAAAACACTGAAAGAATATTTCCATACTGAATACCTCTTGCAGGCACAAGATGTTAATTTTAAGATAAAAAAGGCTGCTTGATTCTTCTGTCATCCAATATTGGATGTTACAGGACAATCTGAGATCTCTCTCCTTTCTCCCCTTCCTCCCTCCCATTTTTCCTTTAGGCTAATTTGCCGTTTCAAAATATTATTTCTATTACATAGCAATTTTGGAATTGAAACTCTTTGGTATCATAAAAAGCAGAGCTTCATAAATTTGGGAGACAGATGCTTACATTACCTACTAATATTAAAAATCATTAAAGAGGTCAGACTTGTATCTCTAATTGCATTTCTTCCCTATTTTGCTTGCTTGTTATTTTTAGTGTGCCTGAAATGAGTGCTGCCATTGGCTAAAGCCAGTTATAAGGTTACAGAGACTAGGCAATTTTCCCTGTGAAACTGTGGCAACCCACTGTTCTCCTTTTTGTTCTCCTTACCCCCCCGCCATCTTTCTCCCTCTTGCAGACAACATTCACTAAGATTAAAGCTGACAGTGCCCAGTCCACTTCAGCTATTAAAGAACATATAAACATAAAGATCTCGGTGATTAAAAGCTGAAAGAAAGACTGGAAATATTCCCCATTGTGTTTCTCAGCCCTGCTCCACGTGAGAAGTTGCTGAAGCTGATGCAAGTTCTCCACGTGAAGAGCCAGCATCCCTCCACCTTCCAAATTTGCAGGGGGGCCAAGGTTTATGAGATAGGTGCCTTGTCATTAAGAACTGGGATGGTTCGGGCTTCTTCCTTTTCCATTTTTGCTAAAATGCCCTTTTTCTGCCTAAAAGCAACGTACTGTAAGGTGACAAGACTTTCAAAAGGACAGGGAGATAAATATCAAATAACTGCACAATCAGTTTAGGTCACCAAAAGCAGAAATCAAAATTCCATGTGACTACTACTTATTAGAATCACTTTCTACAAAGAGTTTCTTTCGAATGTCAAGATCTAAACTTTCTTCTATCAGTGTTTTGTAGCTAATTAAACATACTGTCAATACATTACTGACATATCTTCCCTTTCCAATGCGTTCAGATGTAAAACACCAAGAAAATCAAGACGAGATACAATTCACAGCCAATAGATAGCTACAATAAAACTGCCCATTTTCATCGTTCTTCACACATAAATATCTTCCATCCTGCTGATTTGGAAACTTGTTTTGAGGTAGTTCTGACTTTGAAGTTGTCAGAGGAAGCTGTGACAAATAGTCTGATGCAACTTTAAGTCTGTTTTACCCTGTGCTGCAATCAAATGAACAGTAAAGGAGGCCATATCACAGGGCTACAGCTAAAGGGATTTAGTAAATCCTGAAATCACCATATGGTCACATGAATAACTCCCTTGAAGAACATCTCTATAAGGTGAATTTTAAAGAGCATATTTTTTTACTCCAGCAGGCTTTTTGTTTTTAAGCTAATAGGACCATTATATAATTGTAAATTAGTGATAGGCAAAAAATGCTCCCTTTCTGGGGACCCACAAGACATTTTTAGGTGGAACACTAGCTGTCAGATGGCATTTAATTCTTGTCAAAGCTCAACACTCTCTTGAGCTGAACAAGACGTCTTCTTCTGATAATGTGCTTTTCTGGGAAAGGCCTAGCTGCCTCCTTTCTTACATTTTCCAAACACGGCCATCGTCCCTGGCTCTGCTCCTCACCCACTAGCTGTCAGCCCTCAGCCCTTTCCTGGTGTGCAAGGGTCCCTTCTTTTTGGTTCCTGAACCCAGCTGCCAGGGATCAGATTTCCTTTTCCCCCCGCGTTTCCTACAGGAGCAGGACGTAGAGCAGCTTCCTATCCTGCCACAGCCAGTTCTTCTGGACAGGTAATACAGCAGCACTACGTCACACACTAGGAAAATGACGACTCCTTCACGTCTTAGTATTGCTTAAACTAGTAAAAAGTATTGAAGCTATCTGAGGAAATGAACATTTTAATCTACCAATCTCTTGAGTTAACGTGATCTTTTAGCTCCTCTAAAACATGTCAGGAAAACTGAGAGGCAATTGAAGAAAGTGATTTCATTTCTACAGTGGTAGTTTTGAAAATTTGTATGACTATATTATATACTTTGCATAAAATCAAAGCTTCTTCCTTAATCTGAGGCTACACCAAAAGGAAAATCTTTTGAGATAATAATACAGGTTTAACATTTTGTCTAGCAGCAGCAGATTTCCAAATTTAAAGAGGATATTGCCAGGAAAGCTCTACAAATGATCGTGAGTCAATGACTTAAATACAATCTCAATTTATTTCAGTCTCAAAACATATAGATATATATATATGATGACCCAAGTTGCCTGAGCCATAAAACTGTAATCAGCTTAGGGCTTTTCATGCCAAAGGCAGGGGTAGCTTCATATGCAACGAACCATTCGCATCTAATCGAGACTCCAGATTTGGATTTTGAGACAGCTGGAAACTTTTATTAAGTACTGGCACTTCTTAAAACTTTATTTGGAGTCAAACTACATCAACTTAAAAAAAAGATTAAAAAAATCAAGGGGATTTTAAAGCTCACTATGTTGAGAAAACTAACCTTATTTTAATTTATTCTATCAGTATGCAATCATACTGTCAAAAAGTTTGCAGGGTAACATCTACTGTGAACACAAATTTGTCCATTCTTTCAGAACCCCAAAGAAGTCTGTTCCCATAAAATGGGCTGTTCAGTGCTTTAAAGTTAAGAAGAAAATTGCTGTGCATGTGCATGCATATATATACACATAAAAAATCACAAAATACTAAGATTAAAGACTGTATTTGAATCTTCAAAGATGGAGCAAAAAAATCTATTTCAATTCAGTTGTAACCATGTAAGTGGCTACCGCAGTTCATCGTTTAACTCCTGCCATCCATTAGGAGCCTACTGTCTAGGTTTTTTTCCTTTTTTGTATTCTTGACTGATCAGGTACACACAGCTCCTGGTGTCTTCTAGACATTTTGGGCACTGTCTGTGCGACACACAGAGATGCTCTTTTTGGATGCTTAATTTCAGTTTGTTCTCATTCTATAAACTGGTATGAAGCAAAAAAAATATGCAACCAAGGGCTTGCAAGTTTTGTCTTCTAAAAAGAACAGAGTTCACTACTTACTGTAGAAGAAACTCTTAAGAACAGAAATTAAGAGTGACAACACTTCATATACAACATTCAATGAAAGAAAGTTTTAAAAATCCATGCTGTGGAAGATACATTTTGCCACTTACATCTGTTATCATTTTCCCTCTGGTCTTGTTTCTTTCCCTGTGGTTAGCTCGTTTTTGTTTTTGCTGCAAAACTCGTTCCCTGGTGGTGCGGTATTCCAGAGCAAATTCGCTAATAATTTTGCAGAACTTATTGATGTTGACTTCACGTATTGCATAGGGAGGATGGCCCATAAATAACAAAAATGAGTGAAACCTGGAAAACAATGAGTTCATAAATGCAAAGGGAAAAAAACTTTACTGACGGTTTCTAGGAAAAAAAATCCAAAACATTTCAGTGAATCCATTTGTTACTTTATTAGCTCCCATAATTTTTTTTGTGCTACAGAATTTTCATGGATGCTTTGCATAACATTGGCATGTTTTACAATTAAAACCATGAAAGTCCAGTCTATGATAACTTCATCCCAGTCAACTTTCCCAGGCTGATGCAGGAGATAAGATGTTTATGGAACTCTATCTACTTTATATGACTAATCTGGCATGTGAATGAACGATTTCATTTCAGTTATAGAAAAAATATTTACTAAGTTTCAATTCTACTTATTTGTATTAAGGAACTTCAAAGAGGCTGTTAGGATGCTGGGGAAAGTCTAGACAAGAAGAATGCAGATTTACAGGCTAGCAAACACAAGAAGGAAAAAATTTCTGGTTCACAAAACTGACCATAAAATTATATTATCTACCAAGTACTTTAGTTTGGGATACTCTCAATTCACAGTTTTATTGCTTCTGTGGCATTCAGAGCTTTCGCACTATTTGCAACTTTTACTATTGCCTGATTTACAATAACACACTGAACGTTTAAAAATGTACATGGATTCCTTTTAACAGCATCTACATCCGTGACAATAAAAAGTCTTCCCAATCCTAGAAAGATGCAATTACACGGATACAACTGTGGAGAAGCCTATAATAGTAGTTGCAGCACATAACAGGAAAAAGTTAATATTTTTCTTATTTGTCCAACGCATAAACACAACAGGGAAATGATGAATTCACTTCCCTTCTACTGACATTGGGATTTCGTAGCATGAAAAAGAAGTCACTATGGAAACAAAAGAAAAGCTGAATTAACTTCTCAATTGTACATCCACAAATTTAGGATCATTTGGAATCCAGACCCTAATTTTGACCACAGCAATTTGGAAATTATTCAGCAGGTGGAAAATCTCTCAAAATTTCATTAATAAGTGGGAACACAAATAAATTACTTGATGAGTTGAATTCATACAGCTACACTTGTGAATCTGAAAAAAAAGCGCTCAGCTGTAATGTGGAATTATCATTAATATGTGCATTTCAGAGCACTGCAGTTACTGTTATCTCCATTGGATGAAACTAAATCCAGCTGCAAGTTCTATCGTGGCAGTCAACTGCAAGTTACATCGTGGTAACATTACTTGCTGGAATGTGGATTAAGCACATAAAAAACATATTTATGATGTCATATATAATTTTAGCAAGTCATTTATTATCAAGATATTGCTGTCACCAATCTGAATCTGTACCTGTTAATTATTCTTCTATGAACAATCTTCAGGATTATGATTCTTTCTGCACAGTCTTTAAGGAACTCGGACATTTTTTGCTTTAGAGTTGGCTTCATTTCATGCTTTGCTATAGCCTTAAGGTGATCCCATGATGCTTTGCATCGCCTTTCCATCTGACACAAGTTTTCCTGGAGTTGTTCAAAGTCAACCTGAAAGAAAAAGAAAAGAAAATAAAATATAACACTTTAATCGAAAACACTGTGGTAATATCCTTGGATATCTAAACAATGAAGTTTATGTATAAGAAAAGGTCAATGTAGCAGCAGCACAACATAAATTCACTAAAAAATTTGCTGCTAAATAATTAAGAAATAGCTTTGTCTGTTACACTTTGTCTAGATGTGAAATGTTAGTACGGAAAACTGAAAACAAAGAAATACCCATATACATATATATTTGGTTTTGGTCTTGGCGGCCTAACACCTAAAGAAGGGATAATAAAATATCGTGATGTGTTTTTTCCCTTGCTAGTAAGTTCATGGCTACACCAAGCAACTGCATGACTCAGTTATTTCTGAGGTAATACAAAACTTTTTCTTAATCCTGTTCTCTACTACTCATAGCTTTTTATACCTTGCTTACCGCTCACTGTTGTACCCAGCCAACACTTCTCCAATTTAGGAAGCATTTGGATCTGTTCCCTAGCCATGCACCGACTTGTTAATAGACAACCTACTTCTAATCACAAAATTCACAGGCTAGAATTTTTTAAAGCTCTATTGAAGGTAACAGTTAGTGATCTCAGCAGTAACTTTCTTCCCTTCATGTATACTATGAATTTGCTGGCTTGTAACAAGATCATATAACGGCTTTGAAAGACTCTCAACACAGTTGAAATAAATGACTACATCCTACAGTCACATTCATCAGGACAGAAGCCAACACATTCCATAGAAAGTGAAAAAGCGCATCTCCTTTACTCATCAACCAAAAAAGGTGTTCAGATTGCAATGGTCTACAGAAGACATTCAGGATGTGTTGCTAACAACTGAACAAAGTGCATTAACGACCCAGCCACAGCACACAGCAGATGAAAAGAAGTAAAGCTACCCAACATGTTCTCGAATTCTGAAGAAAGGAAAAATTTATTTTATAATACTACTTCACAGTTCAGATGAACTCAAGCTATAAAATACAGATTTAGCTCTCAAGTTCTAAACACGTCAGTGTTTGGGATGTTACAGTCTGCTGCTCCAGTTAATTCCTTAATGCTAAATGAAAATCAGTGTCAGAGACAGGTTTTAGTTCACTCTTTTTAGCTGTGTGCAGCACCCACAGCTGCGACTTATACTGAGTATAGCCATAAGAAATGCATTATTATTAAAAAGCTCCTGGTATTGATTTGATTTGTTTTTGCTGTGATTTATAAAGTGATGAATTTTTCCTCTTCACAAAGAAATAAAAGCATCCTTTGATCCGTTCTGCTATTCAGAAAAGCCCTGCAGGCGGAGCAGCTGTGGGGTTTTTGTTTTCCTTATATCCATATCAATCCATATGTCTTTTTTTTTTTTTGAAAAAAGAAGTCCTTTCCAGGTCAGTATTTTTACTGTTGATGATAAACACATTGCTGCTCTCCATAGATGGTATATCTAAAACACACATGGTGAAAAATTCTAGCATTCCTATTAAGAAAAAAAAGCCAAGAGGACGTATTTCTAGGTCTTACTAGTAAGAATTATCCAACCTGGTTGGGGCAGTCTCTCAGCCCCTGCAGCAGAGAAATTTAATTTTATGACAGCTTTCACTGAAAATAGAATGAGTTTTAATCTATCAAAAAGCTCTGAGGTTCAAGCCTGCAGGGGTTCCAGAGAGATGTCTGGAGAACAGCATATTTGCAGGGAAAAGATGTGGCAAATTCTTTGCTGCTTGAGATCTACCATCAGCCAGTGCATTCACCTGAGTAGGCAGTTTCAGCGGGGACTGGGGATGGCAGGTCTGGCTAAGGGACGCACAGGAATTTTTTGAGCACAAACAATTCATACCCCTGGGGAAATCCTAAGCAGACCACAGCAAGAAGAATACCACCTGAGCTCCCCTGGAATAAACCTCTGTGGAGCACGGCTGGCTCTGCTCGAGCAGAAGTTGTAAAGTCTTGGAAGGAGTAAAGCAGGAAATCCAGTATGGGATAATGCGCCTGTGACTTCCCCACACGTAAACTCTCCTGTGCCTGCAAGAATGTGATAAATCTCGAAATCCAGTATGGGATAATGCGCCTGTGAATTCCCCACATGTAAACTCTCCTGTGCCCGCAAGAATGTGATAAATCTTCATAAATCTAAAGTCTTCTTCCTGCCAGCTCTCCAGACTTCGGTCACTAGTTTGTGGACAGAAAGGAATACACTAACAGAAAAATATCCAGATGTGAAATATTAAAAGTCAAAATTTTTTAGACAGCCATGCACCTCACCTGATAGTTCACAAAGTGCTATTTCACTGGTGCGCATTTTGCAGGTAGGCACAGAATCCATCGCATTTCACTTTGCTCTATGTCTCACACGCAAGGAGCTGAATGAAGCTTCTTCACATGCCATATACCAGACAACATCCCTTACCTCTATGCAAGGCGCAGAAACTGCCTCCCAACAGAGCACCGGCTAACAAAGCTAAGTCGTCAGATCTTTCCAAAAAAACTATGCAACCAAACAAAAAAACTTGCATTTATCAGTCTGCTGACAAGATTTTTCCTACTAGGTCTTGCAGAAGTGAAATTTAAATGGTCAGACTGGATCAGCTCAAAGGGAAAATTCTGAAGTTAAAGATCCACTGACCACCAATGTTCTAACCGGACTCTACTGCAATTGCAGGCACTTGTACACAGGATCTAGGTGATTTTTCTTCTAGGCTAGTGGAATGTAATACCCATGTTGCATGCCAGCAGCTAGTGTATCTTAAGCGTATCTGTCCATCAACCCTCACAAAGACTGGCTTTCCATGGCTATCTGAAATAGCAGTATGTATTTTTCACTGATGAAATACACCAAAATCATGTTGAAGTAATATGCTCTTATTCAGCAAATTCTTACATTTTCTAAATGTTGTCATGTGTCGGAGTATTAACCAAGACAGCTACTAATTCCCTTAATTATAAGCACTGAAAGCAGGATCTTGAGAAATCTGACACCCGCAAATTCTCTTCTCTCTTCACTGGGAGGCCAAATGCATCATGGACATGAAGAAGTTTTCACAGTATTGCAAGCAGCAGTAGTTCAATGACTACGTGGTCAACAAGCTTCTCCATGTTAAGTATATTTGTATCATAAAACAGCAGGTATTTGCATCAGTGGAAACTGTAAGTAAAATACAAATTAATCTGAAAAGCAACAATTTAGCCTCACTTTAACTGAGGTAACCACCCACGAAAGATGAGCACAGTGGTCCAGACATAGATCTAATATTTGTGCACAAACGTTTAAAAGCAGTCGCATTGTTCAGCAACATCCTTGTAACTTCCTTTTTTTTTTGTCATTTTTGCTATTATTGTTGTTCTGTTTAGGATGTCTTCTAATACTGGAAGTGTTATATACAAATATAACAGTAACAACGATGATAAATGATCCCCTAACTACGTGTCCCTACGATAAGAAGAACAAGAATTTGTTTGGAGTAATAATGACAATTACTCAATCTACTATGCATAAAGGACACATGAAAAGGCATATATAATACCATACTACCTCCCTGCCAGTCCACACAGCATTCCCAAGGGAGCACAGATTCATCTTTTTATTCAGGTGTTTATTTACAACACTTTAGTAAAAGAATTAATGCTGCATAATGGTAGAAAGACGTGATTCTTTTTTTTTCCCCATTCTTTCTTTCTTGACAGGAAAGATGCACCAATTCACTCCCGCAGCTGGAAGGCCATGCTGGGACTAAGAAGAAGTTCAGATGAGTTGTGGCTCCAGGAGACGTCAGCACAGGAGGTGCTCAGACAAGAACTGCTCTGGCATTATTTTATAACTATGCTCCACTGAGTAAAAGGAAGCAGTAATCTGAACTGGTCATCACAGCTTTGTCCCTGGATAACAGCATACAGATTTTGTGTCTGGCTCCAGAATCTGGAGGAAGGTGGAAACGTGTATTCATTCTCATCAATTCAGTACGCGTATGTGTAAAAGATATGCAGCTTGCTGGTCCTGCTTACTGTTACCTTCTGCTACAAGTTTAAAAATAAACCTCTTAATTTCCCCTCAGGCAAAAGCAACAGCAGTCTTATGCGGTTATGCAAAATAAAAATGACTTTTCTTTCAGACACTGTGTAATGTTTATTTTCATTTGTAAACCAATTTAGAAAAAGCAACTTTGTAAATGCTCCCGGGATATATTTGATATGTTCCTCCTCTCTCCTGCCAGGTTCCTCTCCATATACAGCCACACTAGCTGAAAAATTGTCAGAACTAATTGTTATTTATGTGAGAAATCTCTTGCTAGGCCCGCTGTTCAGTCGTCTAAGAAATGCCTTTGTAGGCACTGTTGCATCAGATTGGAGTAGCTGGAGACAGTCTATCCAAATAGGATTTAAAGACTAGTTTATGCGACAAGCCCTGCAAGGTCAGCCTCATACAGGAAATCATTGCCATAAGTCACTAATAGGCAACTTAAAATAAAACCTAAAAAACTGGTTTTCAATTTAATGCACCACCGTACTTTGCAGAAACAACACTCAGACCAAGAATAAAACCCTCCAACCACAGGCCAGCAATGCCAGCACTCATTTTAATCCCCTTATATCATTATTTATTGCTTGCTACTATAGTAACACATTACTCTGTTATAAACAACAACACAAAAAAGAATTCTACCGAGTTTCTCACTTCATTGGGCTGAGACTTCAACATTGCACCATACACCTACTGCCCAAATGACTTCTGTCCTTGCCGGTTTTCACCTGACTCAGAAACTACCACCACCATCAAATGGCTCAGCGCTTACTTCCTTCCCCACCCAGGTTCCACGAATACTGGTCCTTTAAAAGGCCTGTTTTTTTTCAAGTTCAACTCCATGCCGTACATCCAATATCACCTGCTGCGTATCTAAGTTCAAAGCTTTGTAACTCATGGAGTTGTAGACCATGCTCCAGTCATTCAGGCATGACATGTATCAGGGAGCCCTTCTGGTCTTTGGGTTCGGATGTTATCTGTCTGCACGC